GTCATTCAAGTACAGTCATGTATATATTCTGTAAATCGATCACATATCCATTTATCATTTTGCTCCGTTACAATATGAGTAGTTAAGTCTCTTAAAACTGTTCAAACTTAATGACAACAATGAACTACAGAATGGTAATTTATAAAGTTTAAACAATGATTTTCATACCTAATTATTTTCTATACTCTCTATTCAGAAAATTTTAGTTGAATGACCTTAGAAAGTTAAACAACATTCGTTGACAATAAAAAATAAAACATATAAATATAAAAGTCAGTTTTTAAATACGTATAACTTGCGTTTGAAATGAATTACATTGAGGTAAATAAATGAAAACTTCTATTCTTATTAGTTTGAAAAGTTGTTCAACAGGACCAGGATTGGTTTCAGATTGCACTAACCAAATATGTTTATCTGTTTGTACGCACAAGTCGTAATTTTGTCATACTAGGATACTTTCTAGAAAGCAAGAACCAGTGTTCTACTGAACACAATCCAATATTCTATTTTGTCACTATTTACATCATAAAATTGGTATTAAACTATTGAAAAAATCTCATAAAATTCTATGTAAACTGAGAATACTGTGTTAATGTATTGAAATTTTCAGTTTAAAAGTTGATTTATTGCATTATACAATATTTACCACAGAGTACATGACGCTTTTATCTTAAATATGAAGGTTTTTACTAAAATGATTTTATTTAACTTTCAGTTAATTGTGCTTACATTGACTTTCATTATTTTGAATAATTCGAGAGTTAATGCACAGAAAGAGTGCAATGATGAATTGAAACAGTCACTTTACAAATGCTATTCAGAAGGACTATCTAAATGTAGTAAGTTATGAACTAATTTTTTATTTAATAATTAATAAAACTTAGTGCTATTATGTTGTATGCTTAGTTAACTAACATGATAAACATATTACACAAATGTGAAATTATCTAGCGGTTTAATGATATATATATATATATTACTTAGAAAATAATGAATCATGTTACTTCCTAATCGGTCTACTTGTTTGCATACTGTTTGTTTCTCTTTCCAGATATACAGAATACATTTGATGATTTGATCACTTTAAGGAATACATGCAAAAATTGTTATGAATGTAAATCATTTTCAACAAGATGTCTAATAGAGGAATTAACAAGTGAAAAATTTAAAAACTGTCCAAATGTTCAATCGTTGGCTAGATCACTTGAACGTCAATCAATGTAAACTATTTGTAATAATTTCAAATATAAAGTCATATACCAACTAAAATTCTTATAAAATGAAGTTCTAACTTTTGATTTTTGTAATGCGATTAAAAAACAAAATGAATGTTAAGTTATTACTCCCACTGTTATCTGATATAGAAACTAGTTTTGTCAACAGTTTGTAAATAAAACAACCACAGAGGATATTCTGATCAACTTGTCTCTTCGACAAAGAAGTTCCTAAATTTCTTCAAGCGTATGCATTCATTAATGTCAACATATAATACATATGGACTTAGATCATTTCGCTGTCATAAAAACGTACTGATTATTCCTAATTTTTATTTTACTAGAGGTTTGCTCAATGCAAATCAGAGTATGCACACTGGAAAATAGATTGGAAAATGCTTTTACAATGTTTTGTTGCATCGATAACCTGTTGGCTAAAAAGTATTTAGCAGCCCGATTTCACGTTTGTGAAGTGATAATAAGGAAATTCTTTAAATCATTATTATATCAGTATTTTCTCAAAATGTCGAAGTGTTTTCTATAACTCACATCAAGTTTGCAATTTAATTCTGGAATTCTGAATCTGCATGTTTCGGCGCCACTTGACCTTCAGCTTACATTTTCCCCTCGGAAAATCCTTGATTATCATTGGCTGATGGATTACTTTAGTGCGCTGTTTTATGGCTCTCCCAAAGGCGTTTCTATCATTCTATAAAAAAGCTTGATTTGTGCGCTTAGACACCTGGTATTTTCTGGGTGCTAGTAAAACACATTATCTATGCCTTATCAAGACTTCTTGCTTTTGTTAGCAGGGCCTGAGACAACGGATCAAAATAGCCTATCATGTCACTGAGTCATTGTTCTTTGTTCCTTTTACCGAGTAATATGAACTAAAAATAGTTTCGAGCATATGAACTGGCGAGCACATCACTGATGTTTAAAGAAATGTTTGATAATCAATAATATGAATGAGATTTTTTCATGAAGAATAACCAAGTCGGATATTTTCGTAGAATATCTTTCATAATAATTCGAAAATGGAAAATAAATTGATTAGACTATTTTATGATATATTTGGATTATTAGAATAAACATAAAATTTCACTTCTAAATCAACTATTATAAAACATTAGCTTAAAATTATTCGTGAAAGACGGATATTCAGTAAATAAATAAGTAGTTAATTTATGAAACAGCTTTTCTTCACTAATATAATCATAATGAAGCAATAATATCTTAGTTGTGAAGAAAATCACATAATTTTGAAAGAGAATTAACTCGGAATAGTGGTGTGTAAAAGAATATTTTCATAGATCAGTTTTAATCAAAATCCAATAGAGTGATATGAGCTATTGTATATAATGATGAACTTTGGATAGTAATGACAGTTAAATTTTATTAAAAGAAATAACAGCAATTTTAAATATTTTATATGATCATAGAGCGTTATTAAATTAGACTTTAAAATTATTGAAACCGTTAATAATTTAAAGACTAGTAAAACGGGATATGATGTTTCATTTGAAAATAGAATTACTTTTATTCATCATATTTATTTACAAAATACGATAATTTAAAGAGTAAAGCATGCATTCGCCACAAAATAGAATAAGAAACTCCTTTTAACCCCTTTGACTGCCATCAAGAAAAAAACGCGAATTAGGAGTAGAAAGTCACTCAAATTTGTTTATAAAATGAAATTATCATGGTAAGAAACTTCTCTGTTAAGATATTTCATCATGTTCAAAATTATTATGTCACTAGAATTTACTTATGCCTTTCCGTAGACTTTACTAGAGAAGAGAAATACTTTAGATGTTGACGATAATCTTGTACATTGATAAAACTGCGTCGGTATACTTCATTGATATTAAAATTAATGTCGAGCTGTGCAAGTAAATTTGTCATACAGTTAGCTTGATTTTTGCATTAGAAATGATCAAAACTCACTTGTATATCACAAACCAGTTGCAAAGCAACTCACCATCCACGCCTTAAGTTATCATGGACTTCAAATAATGTAAAGATATCTTAGAACATTACTAACATGATTATTCTCCCATCAATGTTAAATTTTTTCAGTCAAATGGCAGTTTTACTTTAACAGCATAACTACGACTGCTATTTAATTGTCAATAAATAATTGTTTACAGAACATTCAAATTAATTAGAGCATTACAGAGTCACTGATTACTTGATCTTCTTCTGTGGTTTTTCAATTTACAAAGTTAGAATCCAAAATTTAGTGTTGTATAGTTCATATAAGGCATATATCAGTTCGTTCAATATGATAGCAAAGTATGTTAATGTCAGTATAATTATCACATAAATTAATTCGAAGTATTTAGAATAGTTCTTAGGAAAAAAATCCGTCTGGATAATGAAGTCAGAAATACAATATTTTATTTCGATAATGATAATTTATTAAGTGTGACTTGTTTTATTGATTGATGTATCCATAAGTTCAATGTAATTTACCACCTAAACATTTGCTTTATGGATTACTAGTTGTTTCTTTTCGTTTTGTTGACTCATTTGACCTCTTTTTTGGCAGAAAACCTTTTTGTCACAGTAAACACGACATCACTTAGTATACTGTTGGGAATATCTAAATGTTTGGGTATTTCTGTATAAACTGTTTTACTTACATAACTCAAAATTTCTGAGATTTACATCGGATAAGATAAAATTTGCTATCCGCTTTCATGTCCTTTGTAAGTTGGTATTTTGAAAAATTGCAGAAAATGTTCCTGAGTCCCACTTTGATAATAAAGAAGGAATGAGTTTGATGACTCTCTACCCCCAAGGAAGGCAACCACTTTCCCCTAGATCTACTGATGCATCTTGTATTCATTAAACAGTTGATTAGAGAACAGTCATGGCCTTGAGATTTCATCCAATTTATTACGGATTGTTATATGTTCTACGGTTCTTTAATTTCGGTTGATTGACAATGAACCTTTTAAATAGGTTTGTATCATAAATTTCCTGAATTCCTGCCTATTGAGACTTAATAATTATACTACCTTATTGTTTAGTGTTGTAAGTGTGAACTCAGGTGAATTATGGATCTAAATCAAGTAAATGTGTCTGTCACCACTCATATGCCTTTCTGTTGATCTGACTGAAAGTTTCGAAATGTGGAGTTTCGTATGGGCTATTAATATCATGATGAATGAATCAGCGGATATATTTTCTGCAGTGACGAACAAAATTTATAGAGTATAAGTTGGATGCTTGAGTTACAGAAAATCGGATAACCAAAAAATACCATACTTTGGGATCGATTAATTGTAAAATCGCTTGATACTATTTATCGGAAATAAACAATGAAATCTTACATATAGGCTGTGATAACTACTGTTTCTCACCATAGAATACAAATCGCACTACATTGACAGATGTATGAATATTGAAATAACAGTTAGTTGAATATAATAGTATCTGAAAAAGATTACTAACCACTGAATGGTTTCATAATTCTACGAAATAAATTTCTAAACCTTCATTACACTCAAAATTTAACAGCCTTCCACATATTTGTGCTCAGTACATAACTCATCACTGAACATAATAATCTCATGTACTACATAGTGACTACTCGGAACGACTGTTACCACTCGAATATCTCTATCTGTAAATCTATTTCTTTGAAAAAGTCATATTTCGAGTAACTGAATCACCACTTCTAATGAAATCACTGGTTCTATCCAGTCGACGTTTGGTTTGTGTTCAAGAGATGGAATGACTTAACTAGTTATCGATTTATACGTTTGAAAAGGTATATTTAATATAATAAATATTTTATTTGTATACACATGAGGAAAATGTCAATAGGCTAAGAAATGATAAGTATGATATGATATGTAGTACGTAATGAATTTTATCGGAACATTCGATTGATTGAGCTTATATATGTTCTGGCGATTGGACAATCGTAAAAATTTGAACCCTGTAGTTGTGATAGAAGACACTTCTTTGCTAGAGATTTACAATATGAATTCTGCATGCAAACTGTTCTCATTGTTTTTAAATCCGCAGAGGATTTGTATATTCCTGAGCAAAAATAAACAAATAGAAATGTTTTGATCAACCGCATGCAAGTCGTATTTCTGTCAAAACAACTATTAAAATTTTCGAATTATAAATTAGGTAATTATTACGATTACTGAACTCCAATTATGAAACAAATTTAATTCAATTAAATAGACGAAAAAGTGCCTTTCATTTGTATAAGTCATCTAACTAGATGGAAATAATGAGATCGTCTAACTAAAATTAGAAAATTCTGCAGGCAATAAATAAAAAGAAGATATCGATTTACTCGTTCGCACTTTCATGAGGATCATACGGAATAAATTTTTGGGTTATACTTAAGGTTACGGAATATTCATGTTGACTAACCTTGAAAATTAGGTGCATGGAAACAATAGTTTGCTAAAATATTCTTAACAAATCTGAGTAGGTTTAAAAATGTGGAAATTCACTGAAAACAGTATTAAACTTTATTGGATATTATGATTTCAGTGTTTCTATATCATTCGATAATGAAATTTTCTGAAACATAATTAGTCTTGTAATCTTTCTGATGGTCTGTCAGTAGTGATGACGTTTTATTTGACCTTCAGAAATAGGGAGTTTTTACATCCGTGTGAGTTGAGGTAGCTATTTCCGGTCCCTACTTTGTTTACGTGAGAGACTTTGAAATCAAAATATTCACTAAAGAATAACCTTAATAAAGGAATCTCGAAAAGAATTAGGATATAACTTGTGTGAGACAATATAGAGCCTTTATAGTAAAAAAATGGTTTCTTGTGAAAAGATGGTGTTCATTGTTTTATCGTGCGCGGGTTATCAAAGCTGGATTTAATATTTCGAACGAACAATATATAGGTGTATAAGGTTTGTAAAAACGTTTATTTACCAGGAAGATTTTTTAAAATTTTATCCGACAACTAATTCTTTGTTTTCTTCTGCCTTAAGGTGTTGGTTACTTGTTTGATCATTGATATTCATTTCTATCTATATAAAACTATGAGTATTCTCAAAGTCATTTTATTCATTTATGCAAAGCAAACTGTATGATTTTATATATTCAAAGAACAACACTCACCAGTAGTCCATAACTCCTTTTTAAAGCAATAACTCATGGTTGCTTCCAACTTTTGATTACACTCATAAAGACTTTTGGCTCCAAAGACAGCTATACACGAATATATTAGTGAGATAACACAGACCTAAGAAAGAGTTTTATTCAGAATAGATAAGGAATTGACTGAAACAGTTTATTGTATATATACATACAATATTACTAGCTTACTATTATAGCTTTCATTTACACGAGTATACTTGAGGTGGTTATGTGAACTGATGGATGCCTGTATTTAAATACTAGCTATTTAAATGACTTTACTGTACGGAAAATAGTTCATAATGTGATTGGTGAGCATAAAACCCAAATAAACCTGTTATATGATAATTTCTTAGTCATCGCTTTTCTTTCACATCCATACTTAAATTTGTTAGACAATGTTATTTGAACCGGTTAGATTTTTACTAAAATAATGATGATAAACCGAAAGTATATTTTGACATGAAGAACCTAGACATTTAAACTCATCAAATGAAAACTTCAGATTTTTGATTTTACCGAAAGTTGCAACATGAACTGCAAACAATCTACTTTCTCATGAATCATTTTCTATGATAAATTAATTCTAAATGAAAATCTACCTAATTTTTTATACAAAAACACTGCTAAATATTATATAAATGTTCAGATGTTAACTAATTCTTTTCTTTAACATAGTTTTATTTTGCACTATTCTAAAACCAGATATGACCTAACCAATGTTTATTCTTCATCTTTCATATTAAGTTTTAGGTTGATAATGAATTTATTCGCATTTGCTTACTTACTTTCATAATCTTATTCGAATTATTGAGTTGGAAAATTTAGATTAAAATGCTTAAAAATGTATAACAACATGAATTACAATATCTCATACCATTTTTGGTTTACCTATGTGCTTATTTATGTGTGAAAGTTTTATGTTATTATTACAAGATCAGTTAATACGATTGCTGTTAAACATGAGAAATTTCAATATTTGTAAAAAATAAATAGATGTCATTTCCTAAGAAGTTTTCTCAAGAAGCTATCAGGATAAAAATATATCTCCTCAGGGAACTTCTGAACATATTTGAATATAAGTTTGATGATTTATAAACTGAAATATGAATTCGACTTAAACTAATCACACGATATAAAGAACTATAAATTCTTGAGTATACCATATCGCACTATTAAATTAAATCTTTTAAAATCTTTGAAACTCTTAAATTATATTAATAATAGTTGATGGCATGAATTTTAAATATTCTTACACATTCCATTAAGTCATTCAATTTAATGAAATTTCTTTTAATGAAAATACATTTCACTATAGTAATAATATCCTATGCTAAAGAAATTGGAGATATTTTGTAGGATGATCATGTTTTCAAGATTTACAGGTCTAAAAAATTATAAATGACTATAGCAGAATGCAAAAAAAATAGAGGAAGTTTATTTTTTTCAGTGACTTTATATACACCACTAAAGAGCCAGGTTTTCTGGATTTTAAGATTGTCTTGTCAGACTAGACATACAGTGTGCACACAATGACTTATATCGTTCGCCAAAGATCTAATACATAAACATGTTCAGTGTAAAATTACCTATGGGTCGGTTTAAGAAGTTACAATAAACACGAGATGCAGTTGGCAAATATTTTAGTTAAAAATACTTGTGAATCATTCAATATGCTATTTCAAAATGATAAAAGAGTCTAGGGGATTGAAACCAAACAAGCTCACATAGATGTGCAATCCTTAGAAGTCCTTTAACCGGATGAAACAGTTAACCAGTTCATTTTGGTTCTCACTGCTTGACGAATATTAATCCATGTTTAAAAAATCTTTGGATTCAACATCTGTTGATGAACAGAATTACAATACAAGTGATTTGTTTGTTTTTAAAATTTAGAACATTTTTTCACTTTCTCCGTGTGTACCATGATGTCAACTTTCATCCAACCACTTGAAGCGTAAAAGTATACTATCAAGGAATTTAAAAAGGTAAATTATCAGCATTTCGCAGTTGATAGATCTCATTTTAATAAAATTCAGAACCTTATATCAAATATTCATGTTGAGGAGATGGTCGAACAGGAGAAATAGGAAATGAAAATCCTATTCGAAGACGCAGGTAAGTTGATGAATTCCAAAACTGCAATGTATAGTCGCTGTCCAACCTTTGTATACTGTAGGTTTATCGAAAGTAACTCAACATTTGTGGATGAAAGTGCTCATCATAAGCATGAATACATTTCCTAAAGTTTTGAAAACAATTCATGAATAAATATATTTATGTGAATGAAACGCAGATGATTACCCTCAAATTAAAAGTAATGCTGTACCCTTTGGCTGACATTGTAAATATCCTTTTGTTGAAAAATAAGTGTATTCAATTGTTCTTATTCACCAATAAAGGTCAATAATATTTAGCTCATCATTTCTTTTGTGCAGTTATTTTCATTTGGACATAAAAACCTATAACAAAGTTTATTTCTTAGTCATATTGTTACATTTTATATAAACCTCATGACAGTGCTAATTTCCATTTCTATCATACGTCAAGAAACCTTTAGATTAGTATCCCTATTTCTGTAGTTCTTCAGGCGTAAAACTCATAATGGTCGGAATAACTATGGACGACTGAACGGCAGAAGCTGCTGTAATGATCAGAATCGGAGACAGGGTTATTAATATATTAAAGTAGGTTTCGAAAGACAACTTAAACTAAAGTAGCATTCACCATGCATCGCGTAAAGTGATAGACAAGTACGAGATAATTTAAAGGTAGCGTAACTGTTTGGATATATTTATTTTCCATACGTTGGATTGTTGATATAAAAAAATCCTTTTTTATTTGAATTAGGTACTTGTGGTTTGAGATAATGCATAAATGGATACTGCTGAGAACAAATATTATTTGACCCCTTCCAGTCTTGATATGTGAATAATAGGCACTCCAGAAAAATAAAATACTAATATAATTGAAACAGATAAAGGATAAGGAGTAGAGCTAAACTCCGTCACAGAAATCATAAATTTATGCTGCGTATCATGATTTTTACTCAAAAGTACCAGTAATGGAGAGTCTGTAATGTTGCATTCATGGTATTGACGAAAAACAGAATTTTTACTGACAAGTGGAGTTGTTTCATAGTTAACATAGCAATGTGATCTTAACAGGACCACCCCTATAAATCAAGAAGCATTAGATAGCTATTTGTTATGGTAGGAAACTCTTCATAAATAAGCATCTTGACTGGCGACTGAAATCCAGGACCTGTGGACTGGAGTGAGGACGCAATTCCTGAGCACCAAGCTGGTATCCGATGGTTAATGTGGTTAACTTCCATCACTTTCTAATAACGTACAACCATCTTTCTATGTAGTTGGCGCTCAAGTTCCTTGTGTATGACATGACTGAGCCTCATTGATTTAGGGTAAAGTTATCGTAGCTAATTCTGCTTACTCAGTTCACCACCGTTTCTCTTTGCATACCACTTTCTGTGTACTACTTATATTACTTACTTATATTCAGTAATATATGTCGCTAGCATTCATTTTTGAATATACTGTATACGTCATTACTCAGTTGCATTCGCATATGTTTGTAAAATGAAGTCCATCAATTACAATAATTCTATACTCTTAACATAAATTAACAATTCATTAGCTTGTTTTGTCGAATCTATGAAACAAAGGCTGTTAATCATTTTATACCTTCATACTAGATCTGAGAGTCGACAAGCATCAATGTTAGGGAATTCAAGTTTGATCAACCAAAACATATAATAAGTAAAACAAAAACAATGTGTAAGAAATTCGAACAGTTGTTCTTTGAAGATATAAATTAAACTATGATAAAAATTTGAAAAAAATAGTTACACTCATTTCAATCTTAATCACAAATGTGATGTAAACGAAAAGATTAGATTATGATTTTGACGTACACTACATATACACACTGAGTAATTATGTTTCGTAATCTTTTGCTGGTGCAGCATATAAATTTGTTTAAAACATTTCGTTATAATGAAGCTTCAATATTTATAGCATAATCATAATAATGTTAAATTACAGTTTAAAAGTTCACTTATCCAATGCTATCGTGACACTTATTTCGTAAATCATTCAAACATTTTAAAATGAACTTTTCAGAAAGTCTGTAAGTTCTAATAATTTTGAAGAACTTACTTCTTGTTCAAGAATACGTTGAAATATATTTTGTTAACGTCAAATGATTACCAACAAACCACTATTTAACAAGATTTTTTATGACCCTAGATTTCTAAGAAATGGTTATCAAAACAAATCACTTTTTAACAGTATATCATTAAACAGATTATTTGAATCAGATGAGAAATTTCACTAAAAGCTAGTCTATACAATATTAACTAAACTGCAATGATTTTAGTTTAGCTGTTAAAACGATGATTGAATGGAAAATTTTTTTTAAAAGTTCACTTTGTTTAATTTATATTAGCATGTTTATGAAATATTTCAATTGGAAATAAATAAAATCAAGTTTATTCATGTTTTGCCTCAGATTTTGTGATTATTTACAACATTTTGGCATGTGAGTACCACTATAATATTACAAAAAAGCCATTGTGAAGAGAAGAAAAACAAAGATTTTAGCAGTTTGATTCAATTCAACTGTTTACAACCTCTTATATCTAATATCATGATTATAAGATGAGTTTAAATTGCTTACATGAAAGAGTTTAGTTGGAAGTTGTTATGATCGTACACCAGTATAGTGAAGCAAGGTTGTAAATAATTATAATAGACCGAATAAAATATTGTAATTATAAACCCTATGCAAAAGAACATTCTAAAACATTATTTATGAAAATTGTTTTAAATTGAAATTCTTAAATGATCCCAATGTTTCTTCTAGTTATCTCGTCTGTACTTATTCTTATTATTACCTTGAAAAATATGTTTTAAAACATATTCTAAAAATCGAACATACCTCCTTCTTTCTGTTTGGCCGATATAACTGCTTTGGCTAGTACATGTAAATATATAGATACAGTTGGTGGTAATACGAAAGAGTTACTTGTCGATTTTTGACTGGTCTATTTAACATAAAGTTTGATACAATATCAAGTAGTTTGGCCTCGGAGTATGTTCTGGCTTGCGAAGTTATAACCACTGCAGTTAAAATTTATAAACATTCAAGTCTCATGTTTTCAGGATAATCTATAAAAAAATCTACCATAATTGCACCTAAT